TTTAGGAGAAGTACAAAATTGTGTGTAGTGCAAACAACTGCATCTTTGTTGACTTGTATTCTCTCAGCAGCTTAACTAAACTGAATTAGGAGGCTTCAGCACATRCAGCTCCAGTGCCAGCGCACGCTCGCTCAGTCACACTTCATGACTGGTTCATTAGGCTTTTGTGATGCGAGCGGTGACAGAGAATAGCAGTCATTCGAAAGAAGCAGGCATTCTTCCCCACAGGCCGTGACCTCCCTGAATGATCTGTGTGAAATGTCCTTCAGTGTCCAACCTGCGCCCCACCGGCTCACACCTTGTGTGTGAGAGATTGAAGAGGGTTGATTTCAGGTGGCTCCGTGTCACTGAACTATTTACCGCAGCAACTGATAATTTTCTGAGCCAGCCACTCGGAAGAGGGGTCAACCTCCATTTTCTTCTTCATCCCTCTCCTCAAGCTCAGTGTGTCTCTGCCACATGTTCACGTTCTGTTGTGTCACACACCTCACTGATAAACTCATTGTTTTTCTGGAGAAAGTTCCCTCACAGACGCGTCCAACTCTGCAAGTATTATTGCAATTATCCCCTGCGTCACCCGAGCTTGTTATGACAGGAAGAGGCCATTCGGTGAACTTGACAGAGTCACATCTCACAGCCTCCTGTTTCTGCCACCTCGGTGCTAATTTTGCTCTCTTCTGCTCTTCTCTTCATTGGGATTTTTGTCACATTTCTATAAGTGTTGTTTKAGCTTTTAGACAGTGGACGGCTTTCTGAGAAAGTGCTGTAAAATATTGCCTAACAGATGTGAGAGTTACACGTTGTCTCAGCACCGTCACTTTAATGTGGAAATTTATTCAAAATTAAATGCAATTAAAGGCTCTTTTGCTGTCAGCTTCTTGAACTCACTTCAACTTTTAATAGCAGTCAAGTTTCTATTCTGACTGCATTTTTTWAAATTATTTATTTTCATTCATACAATGTGTAGCTTTAGGCCTCAGATATGAGCGTTACCCTTCAGAGTGATGTGCACACTGACAGAAAGCATCTCTTGTGCTGCATGTATGCACGAGAACACAATAACGCAGAGCATCAAGGCAAAGCAGCTGATTTGTTTTGACGGCGCTTTCCAGTAACTAAACAAGAAAGACGTTTGGAAAACTCGGAAGAGTAAAAGACTTTATCCATCAACAGGGCGTGTTAAAATCGTAAACGCGCAGTCTGCGAGGATGCTGTCATGTGTCAGACCTGGTTTCTTAATGATTGTTCTGCAGCCTGCAAAGAAGCACYTATGAATCAAGACGGCGGTAAACAGCCCAGAGTATCCYTGGTGCCTATTTGTATCTGTGCAAATAAATCATGTAGAATCGCACTGTTTAAATAATGTGTTACAGCATAGGTAAACAAACAAATTACAGGCTCACTGGTCTGATGTAATCYGTGGTAGCTCTTTATTTTACCGACTAGGAAATCATTTGCAAAAACCCTAAAACATTTCYAAACCAATGTCTCATCGCTCAGAACGTGCAGTGATGATTACATGTATTTCTCTGACCTAAATACTAACRATAACCTTTTATATCAACTGTTCTGATCAGCGTCTTTATGTAGAAGAGAAAATTCTCGGTCACTATTTAAAGGCTCGTCTTACATTTGGMGATTTCTTGATCCCTCCCTGCAGGTGAGCTATCAAAACCTTTCCWTTGTCCAGTTATGATGAGATAAGGAGTTCGATCTCAGGCTTACGTTGAAGGTCAGATAACTTCCTTCAGTGACGAGATCAGAGTGTCACGGTGGTCTTACGACAGCGTGGAGTTCAGTAGCAGAARCAGGTTGAAGACATGTAGGTCCATATCTGACAGATTGAAAGAAGTTGAGTGGTTTCCTGGTCACTTTACAGAGTGACACACTTGGATAAGCTCCCTTCACTGGGCATTAAATACAATTAAGAGCAGGTGCTGTATTCCTCCACAGCAGGGCTCTTAAACCTCCCCACTGGCAGTAAATCCACTTTATCTATGTGGCCACTTAAACGTACTATTAGTCCCCTGCTTCCTTAAATCCCTCCTCACAGGATATATAATCTGGCTCTTTGAACGGTCTTAGCTCTGATTCTGTATGTTAGACACTGTACGGTGTAAGGACGCGACCTTTACCGGCATTTTCCGTTGACGTTTTCATTCCCCTTGTTCTTAATCAGGGAAGCATAAAGGGCTGAAAGATGCTTCTCGGTGAATTCGACTCCCTTTGAATTATTCAGAATGGAAATTATTGAAAGACTTGGTGAGCTCTGATGCGTCTCTCTTTACTTTTTAAGTGGTGGTCTTACTCACGCTACTCAATTTTAAATGAAGGTAAATCAAGTGTGACTCCCCTGTCGTCTACGTGGATAAATAGGTGTCCTCCTCTCAGAGACTGATGGTTCAGGTCTGTTTGGAGCCACCCACAGTTTTTAACCTTGACAGTAGACTTTGCACACTTTATCATAAAATAACTGTCAGTCAGCTGTGGAATTTTATTATTTTAAAACATTTTTAATAAGGTTCACAGTACTGATTCATTCCATTTCTTTCTTGTTTTTAAAATCACATTTTCTGGTTTTCACAAGGGCAAGCATATCATCTTCCTCACAGAGCTCCTATCTGTGTACCAGATCACTGTCGTCCTTTGTGGTCAGTTTGTACAAAGTCAAACCTCAACAGGTCAGAGGGCAGTGGTGGCAAGAATGAGCTCATCTGGCACTTGGAATAGGATTTTTTTTTTGTTTATGTATCAACAGATTCTGCAGGAATAAGGATTAGACCGTCAGTGTTTCARGCTTGCTGTTAGGACCCTCATGTTACTTTAAGGACTGCGTCACATGACAGGTTAAGTATGCAGAATTCTGGCCCGATTTTGCARTTCTGGCAATTTTAAGGAAGTCCAGATTATCGTGATGGCTCCAAAGATAATCTGAGCAGATATTCCCGCCGTGGGTGGTGAGTTAAGAGTGATGTAGTCAGCTCGGAAGGACGTCTGGACCTCTCCGACCTCAAATCAGGGATATTCAGCATGTTTGATTTTTTGGGCCAGATCACAGCGTGTGTGGTGTTGACCAGAGAACAAACGAACCGCAGCCTGTTGAATGAGACGTGCTGCCAATCAGAAAGCGAGATAACATAAACATGGAGGGGATTCCAAAACACAGAAGACAAAAAAAAACTGTCATAACTCACCAGAAAGTCTGCTGGATGTTAAAAGTCCTGTGGAATTGTTTTTCCTCTGGTTAAAAATTGTCCACAAACGATCAACATTGTTTCTTCCTCGTCGCAAATGTTTATTTACTCTGAACTCACGACTCTCTGGAGGTCACATGAGATTTTTCCTCGGACATCTGAATTCTCGTGAGATTTCAGTAAGTCTCGCGTGATTTCACATCTGACATCTGAATGTTCGTGAATGAAATATGTTTTCGTGTGTCGTGTGCTGTCTCTTGCCGTGTGATTGTACACCACACACTGTAGAACCAAACCTGGTATAGCTATGATTTTTTTTTATCCTACCAGTCTTTGAAAATCGTCCGAATGTTTTAAAATCTTGCCGTGTGATGCAGGCCTAGGTCTGTCCAAAACACACAAAAAAAATGGTGCCGTCTTAGAGTAGGTAGGAATCATTTTTTCAGTAGCTGTTGTGTGTCGTTTTCCCAARKTCAGTTCCAAGTCAGTTCGTAACTTTTTTTACYAACATAAAATTTGTAAATCATTATYTTAGTTTAAAGTGGTCTCCAATGATATTGTTGTTTATCGCATTCATTTCTGAGAGCAATTTGCAGCATCGTCATCGCCTGCAGTGATGTGCATCAAGTCTCTTTGTGTGAGTGTGTGGCATTACTGATAAACTGACTTTCCACAAGTCAAACTGAAATTTGTTCCAGAGTGCTGCAGGTGCACAACAGACTTTTGTAGTATTAAATGTTGTCAGCTTGAGATTTGTTTTAATTTGCTTCTTSATCTGTAGATTTATTGTTCCATGTGAAATAAAAAAAGTTTCAACTCAAACCATATTTATCTATAATTCTTGTCAGATGATGCCTGGTCTGGATTTGGTGCATGAATCAGTGCCTCTGTGTGTGTTTGTTTGCATGCGCAGCAGGTTTTCTGCACATATTGCTGACAGGCGTTAAAGTGTTTGGATGCAGCAGTGCAAGGATTAGAAATAAAAAGAAGAAGCAGGGCTGAGAGGAAGGGGAGAGGATAGCAGAACAGTATTTTATCTCATTTTGGGTTTGTTTTATTGTTTTATTCATCCTTAGCCATGACCAGATCCGTCTGGCTTTTTCATCTTATTATGTTAACAAAATGCCAGCAATTTAGCTCCTTGTCTATATTTTACAAAGTGATGGTCGTGCTGCGAGTTGTCTCTCAGATGAAAAGACGCACACGTCAGCAAATCAAAGCCTTCAAAATGCACTAATCTCGCACGGTGTACACTTCTCACACCTCACACATATCAGCAGCCTGACAGGGTGAGATTAGGGAATTGCTCCCTCTAGGTAAAGTTCAAATCCACTGCAGGTGGTTTGGAAAAGCTTGGAACTTATCGTTTTAGGGTTTMGGAGTAATTACATCTCTGTTTGTTCTGGATTTAACGTAATCAGCTCAAATGTTAAAAACCGGCGTGGACCAAGTCCAATTTTTACCCTAATCTCTCACAGAGCTGTTATTGGCTTATCATTGCTGTTATTAGTGTAAAACCTCATGTTTGTCTATTTTTTTGCTATGTTTGCTAACTATGTGGGTTCCTGGCAGCCAAACAGAAGCTAAATTTCAGATCTTTTTTTTTTCATTTGTTTTATTGAAGCTTTTATTCAAAATTAAAGTAGCTCTCTGAGGAGGTATGTCTTTTTAACCAAAGCAGCCACAGGTGAGCTAAAAATAAAATGGTATTAGAATAATTTCTGCAGCCCAGCCTGAAACAAAAAAAAAACTGCAAGTTTCTTCCCCGTTTCTCACCTTGACATCTGTTGTCTTTTTTCCTTTCAGTTGTGTGGCTGTGGGCTGCTCGGCGTGGGCATCTGGCTCTCTGTGTCGCAAGGCAGCTTCGCCACCTTCTCGCCCTCATTCCCCTCGCTGTCGGCTGCCAACATGGTCATTGCCATTGGCGCCATCGTGATGGTGACGGGCTTRCTTGGTTGCCTSGGTGCCATCAAGGAGAACAAGTGCCTGCTTCTAAGCGTAAGTTGATCCAAGACATTATTTCCCATATAAAGATGCAAAAGTTGTCAAACTTGAATTTTCCTCACTCTCCAAATTTAACTTTCTAAAAACTCCTAATTAAAATGATTTATAAAGACAACATCCAAGCTGTACTAAAACTGGACACCACAGGCAAAGAWATGTTTTATTTATACCTTTAAGTGAGTAAAAGTAAATACATTTCTGCATAAATTAGATATTAATATATGTTTGAATTTTTTGAGAATGCATTTTCCTTTACAGGGTGTAAAAGTAAACAGTTTATTYGGACCATTTTGCAGTTTAAAAAATAACAATGAGTAAATTTCCATAAAAAAATCTGAAATTTTAATTTCAGAAATTTGCAGGAAAAAAGAAGGAAATTATCGTTTAGATAAGTCAAACAACTGTCCAGAATGAAAGCGAAAAAGTTTTCTATATTAACAAACTTCAGTGTATCATGGAAACTTTTTGTATTTTAAACTTGTCATTGCTACTTGCTAAAATCTGCCCGCTGCTAACACTACAGAACACAAATTAGTCTGAACTTTMGTGTTATGACAAGATGGAGTTGGTTCGGAACCCGGTCAAGATGGATTCTCTCATTATAACTTTCTTGCAAATGTGAGAATCCAGCTTCTTGGTGAAGCAGTTTTAAGATCTGGCTTCTTAAAGAGCTCCATATGCTCTGATTTGTCAACTGGATACAAACGACCCGACTTTATTATGTACATAAATCATTTCTTAGGAACAAATATGACCCCACTGATGCTGTTGGCTGTTTGAAAATGCTTCCTAAGATTTTATAGAGTTTATGAKGAAAAAAACTCAATAAAAGCAGAGAAATTATTGTTGTTACCCATTACTTAATTTTCTTAAACTAAAAAGTTTTATTGAGCTAAATGGAAGTTATTCTTCAGTACCACAACATTCAGTAACCCATTAAATGCTGTTTCAGGTAAAAGTTTTAGTCTGAAAACTCCTCGATTTTCAACTTTCCCCTATTTTTCTACATTGCAATAGCATTTGAATTAATTTTATTTAATCTAACTAATAACAGACTTACAACCTGATAATACCAGTTATTTTCTGTGGAAAGATCCCAAGAGAGTTGCCGTATTTTTTGGACTATAAGCCGCACCGGACTATAAGCCGCACCCCCAACATAAAAAAAAACAGTACACCCAAATTTGTCGTCAAAAAAGTGAATTCAACATCAAAACATAAAAAGCAAACCTTTAGGAATTAAAGTTCGGAGGAATACGGTTCYTATAACTGCCCTTATTTTGGTAGTTTTCTTTAACAGTTTCTGGTCCAACAAAACGCCTCATTCATCGTCCTCCYGRGRACTGAAACCATCGAAGTCCTCCTCTTCAGTGTCGGAGTTAAACAAGCTGAGAAAAGCTGCGTCACACAGCGGTATCTGTTGTCCTCCCGGGGTAATGCTGGCTCTGAAGCTGTGGTGTCCTCTTCATGTAGCAGTTTAGCCTTTCAGAACCCATTGGTGATGGTGGACTCATTCACACTGCTCCACACTGTTAGGATCCACTGGCAGACATCAGGAAATGACGCTCTTCACATTCGGCCAGTTTTTGTGAATGATTTATCCCCGTCAGTCATCCAAGCCTCTCATTCACCCCTGAGTGCTGCTTTAAATGCACGATTCACACTGATGTCCAGGGGCTGCAAAAACTTTGTTGTACCTCCAGGAATAACAGCAGGAATTGAGTTTGWTTRCTTGATGGCTGCTTTCACCGAATCCGTGATGTGGGCCCGCATACTGTCCAATATCGTGTTTGTTGAAGATCCGTCGTATTGTATCTGCTACTAGCTAAAACAAAATGGCGCTACACCTCTGGCTAAGCTGGCAGTATGGTCGCTCAGCTGTCGACCGGTCGACGTGCCGTCACGTGGTTGTTTGGCGTTTGTTTTCGCACTGACCTTTCATAGTTCCCCCAAGAAAACCAGAGCCCAGCTGCTGGGAAAGCCCTCCTCCTCCAGCATACGTCACTGCATGAGATTCCTTCCCCGGGAGTGCAATGCCGAAAAAAAGGTCAGCAGCTCTTCACTCGACGTTTATCCACAAACTGGTCCTGGATTAAGCTCCAAAGTTTTTATCAGTCAGATTCCACCGTGAAAAATGTCTGTTTTATCCCCTTTTATGAGTTTTTGGCCACTGACTATCTTTAAATCTCTGCTTCCTGGTACAACAGTCGGCTCTGGAAGCGATCGCTTTTTTCTTTCCTTTTTTTTTCCTTCTTTTTTTGAAGCGAGTGGTTGAAGCAAATGGAGCATAAGAGCCCCCTGGTGGCTGAAGAAAAAAATCCACATATAAGCCGCACTGGACTATAAGCCGCATGGTTCAAAGTTCGGGAAAAAAGTCGCGGCTTATAGTCCGAAAAATACGGTAAATGTAAAGTAAAACAAAAGGTTAATCTGTCAGCTGACTTCTGAGGGAACACTTTTCTTGTTGCAACCAAAATGTAAGCACAGATAAAAAGTAATTCCTTACCACCACCTTATGAAGTCTTTTCACATATTCTTTAATCTGTTCTGTTCTTTAAAGATAAAAACCAAATAAAAAAATCTGTAAATGCTACAATMGGAAATAAGCTGTATTATGATGTAGAGTGTTTTCCTAAAGAGAAGTAACCGGTTGTTCACTACATTACACATAGAGTTTTTCACTTTGGTAACGCCAAAATCAAAAATTAAACTAATCTCCTGTGTTTTGTCTTTTGCACAAAAGGACTCGTGTTTTGTCCTGCAGCCAGCAGCCGAACATCTGGCYTCTTTTTGCAGTCATGTTCGAGTTAACAGGAGATAATGGAAGACTTTGGCTCTTCATTSTAATTCTAGTTGTCCTTGAAGTTGAGCCAAACGAGCCGCTAGATTGACATTTTAAAAATGCATTACGTAATGATGCAAACAAAACATAAATGTTGGACTTTATYCAAGGCTTTTAGGCACTTTTGAAGCATTGTTTTCTATAACAAKCAATGGTTTAGGCTTTCTAAATTCCAAATGATCCAAATCTAGCATCTAGAAGAGCATCAGTGTGAAGTTCTGGCTTCTCACCCGCTAAATACTACTAATATTGTAACTGGCAGATGCTTTTTATAGGCAGAGTCTGTGCTTTTTTATGGCGTCTCTGCAGATCACTTTTAATTAAGCTGCCTTGCATGTACAGCAGGATTCAGATCTACCCACAGGTTTTCTGTAATTTCACTCCAAGGGTTTTAGCTGAAGCATAGGGAATAAGAAGTAGCCACTTACAGACTGCCTATATCTGTTTTATACTGGGCTGCTTTTAGCCATTCTCACCCCCTCAGAAAAAATAAATACATAAATAAATAAATAACTGCCCAAATCATTTGCATATCCATCATTTATCCAGAACACATATATGAAAGAACTGTAGATGACTGACAGGATTGTGATAAACCCGCAGGAGGTGACAAAGAAAAATAGAAATGGAGCTGAACAGCAGGATATTCAGCTAAGATGTAACAATAAGAAAACTAACAGCTGGAGTGCAGATAAAGCAGAAAGCATCTTTAACAGGTACAAACTATGAAATTAAAAAAGGAAACAAAAACAAGCCAGCAGGCCAGCATGCGGGGGGGCTTATTTTGTGAAATATATCTGCAAATTATTCTACTGTTTCTTTGTATGTGCGTGCGTCTATAGTATGCTAAAAGGCACTGGATAACCATGAGCTTAATAATTAATAATGTTCTGTTATACATTACAAAGGCTACTTCGTCTTGATGTTGCTCTGTTTGCCTAAAGTTGTACAAGTGTTTTATCTTAAGCGCAAGTTAATTATGGAAGTTCAGCCAACGGAACGAGGCGAGGCTCGTTGATACGCAGCAGAAGGCAGAAAAGAAAGTTGCGTGTTCGCAAACTTTAAATGAGGAGTGAAGCTGGCTCGCTGACTYCTTAACACCACAAACAGTTCAATCCCTTCAAGCTCTTGCATCAGTCAAAAGCCCCTCTAAATCCTGCGTGTTAGACGTGGCTTCCCTCACCTGAAAGGAAAAAAAGTGGGGAGGAGAGCAGAGGAGAAATGTGAGGTTGAGTAAAAAGAAAAGATACTTAATGCAGCACATAAAAGTTGCATTGGATGACTCAGAAGGACATTACATCACTCCGTGCTGCGTCTTCGTTAGGTGACCCCCTTTAAATCTGTTCGTGGAAGTGCTGCCCGGGGAGTTGTCGTTGTTTTTTTTTATTTGTTTAGTTTTTATTTGTTTTTCTCTCAGGGGGTGAGGGTAGTGAGGATGTGGACGGTGGTGTCACGTTGTTCAAAGATCAGAGCGGGTTCAGATCCCAGGGTGCAAACGGATCCGAGCATCTACCTTGACAACACCTCTCTTTGGAGAACAAAACATAGAATTCGGACATCCTCTGCAGTATATTTTCACTTTCTCTCTTTCACTGCCAGAAATACCTTAAATCCTAAGGATTTAAGGTATTAAATCCTATCATACCTTAAATCCTTAGAAAAAAGTTTAAATAAAAAATCTGATGGACAGTATTTGTTTGAAAGTGCAACATATTTAAACCAATGAAAACAAAATAAAGAATGAATTTGAGCATGTAAATATTCTTACTTAAGCCCAATGAAGTGCTTCATTTTTACGAAAGAGGATTAGGGCCACTGGGAAAAAAATAATAAATTAATAATTCTGACTTTAATGTCAAAATTCTGACTTTATTCTCAGAATGTTGAGAAATCTGGTTTGAGAGAGGGGGTTACATTTTCTAGCGGTGCAGAAACATTTTATTTACAATTCAGTTAAAAAATGTCAACAAGAGAAGACTTGTCTGTCCAGCCTTACATGTTAAAAGCCAGAGTCTGACCCAGAACCAGAGCCTGACCCAGAACCAGAGCCTGACCCAGAACCAGAGCCTGGCCCAGAGCCAGAACCAGAGCCTGACCCAGAATCAGAGGACATTAAAACAAAGAAATTGTAGTTGGTAAATCCAGGCCGTATGGTAATTCCGTCGCAGATTATTTGACATAATAGTTCAGAAAATATCATAGAAAATAGAGAAAACTGAACGGTCTAAAAAAAAATGTGATCCAAATAGAATATCAGAGACAAAATTGAACTTTACTGCACTCATAGAGTCTTCAAGTACACAACAAAAATGTATTTAACAACTAAAAAAGTGGATTTTGCATGATATGTCCCCATTTTACTTTTACTCCGTTATTTCTTTTCTATAATTTCTATACCTCTGCTTCATATTGACGGAGCAGAAGTTGTGGTAAAGCTTTCTTTTATGGTACCCTTATTACCATGTAATTACAAGGTAATAAAAAATGTAATTAAATGTAATTACTACATTATTACCACGTGGTGATTACAGTACAAAAAACTACTGTTAGTAAAACTGCCTGTATTGGGTAACTACAATCAAATTACTTTTAGTAGTAACTCAACACTATGTTTATAACCAAAAGAATGCAACTAAATTTTGGGGTTAGTGGTTAATTGCAATAAAATATAACTTTAAAACTGTCCAAATTAAACCCCAAAACACATRACGGCAAAGGCTGGTTCACCCCAAAGATCCGGTGCCCCGGCACAAACAGAGCAATGRTGTATATGCTGTTAAGTGCCAGGAGGACTGCGACCAGTTATACATCGGGGAAACAAAGCAYCCACTGTTCAAAAGAATGTCCCAACACAGARGAGCTACATCTAATGGACAGAACTCTGCAGTTTTCACTCATTTACAGGCCAGCGGTCACTCTTTCAGAGATGAGGATGTTCTCATTCTTGATAGAGAGGAACGTTGGTTTGAGAGAGGAGTWAAAGAAGKCATTTTTGTGAAGAAAGACCGTCCATCATTAAACAGAGGTGGAGGCCTCCGTTTTCAGTTGTCCCCCTCCTACAGTGCTGCTATTGCCAGTATCACTCCACCCCTGTTAACAATAGGTGTTAATTAGGTGTCAACGATAGCCATGTGATGTGAGTATCAGTCACARGGAGGCAGTGCTTAAAAGCCTGAATTTTGCCTGAAACTCTCAGACTGAAGAAGTCTCTTGGAGYAGAGACGAAACGTTTCATTAGAGAAGAACCCGTCCAGAAGACCTATACAATTTTTTTCTTTTTGTCCAAATTACCTATTTATTTAGGTGTTACATAGTGAATTGTAATACCTTACCAGGTAAGTGCTACATTACTGCAGACAATTAATTACATAGTAAAATTGTACCCTAATTACTGCATAATTACATGGTAATAATGTAGTAATTACATTTAATTACATTTTTATTACCTTGTAATTACATGGTAATAAGYGTACCGTAAAAGAAAGCYTTACCGAAGTTGTTCCATCAACCCTCTCGAACAGGAAAGTGTGACAATCCAGCTGTGAATGCACAGCAGTCGTACATTAAACCAGCAACCCAGATTCCGACTGGAGAACAGACCATCCTCACTATTTTATGTGGGCCGCGGCATAAAAAAATAACCTTTCCCTCCTCCTCTTCTAAAACGAGCGTGGAGTTAATCGGGTTCTCTGAAATCTAGGTCCGCTAGGTCCAGAAAAGGTTGTAAATATTGAGCTGACGTTGGAGTCGAGCAGGTAGAGAGGAACAGCAGCCGAGGTGTAAGGCTGTTAGAAGTTAATCTTAAGAGTAATTTAACCCTCCTTCCCTGTTCCTCAAACATGAACAAGTCTTGCGGCGTTGAAATGATCTTTTTTTTTCTATTCTTCCTTCACTGAACTCCATTTCCTCTTACAATTTTGTTTCTTTCTCTCCTCCTTTCAACTCCGTTTGTCTTATTCGTAGGCATTCTGGATTGTGCTGCCAAGATAAAAATAATTAAAGCTAACCTGTAAGCAAGATTTCCACTTATTGGGAAATTCCTCTTCATTTGTTCTCGTAAAGCAGTTTTCACATATAAGCCCACTGGGGAGGCTCGGTGAAATTTGTTTACAAATTGGTTCAGGTTTTTCTTTTCTTCGCTTACTTTCCACATGTTCTTGATGCTGGAAGAGTTTCGGCTCTAACTATTATTATTATTTGACAAACCGTCGCTTCAAAAGTGACCAGACTRTTTCGTTTTTGGTTCAAGGGTTTGAAATTGTTCTCATTTTAATGTTTCYGTTTAAAACCACTTAAATAAGCTGCAAGCAAATAGACATGTATTCTGCAAAGTGTTTAAGCTTTATTTTATACGTTTTTCTTTTTCTTTTCTTTGACAGTTCTTCATTGTACTGCTGATAATTCTTCTGGCAGAGCTGATATTGCTCATCCTGTTCTTTGTGTACTCTGATAAGGTAAGTTTAATAATGTCCCTTACTGTTTCAGCGCTTTGATTTTCTTTAAACGTGTCCTCATAGCTGCAAAAATACAACTGATCTTACCAAAAAAATGAATGTAATGAATATAAAATTTAAAATAAATGCACTTTATAATGAATTTGGGTCATAATAAAAATATAAATCAAATTGAATATTTTCATGCAAGATTTTGCTTAATTCAGTAAGTTTGTGTCTTATCGACTTTTGCTTGTCTTCTATTAGCACGGCTTTGAAGGAAAGAGATTAAATTTGTATTAAAATGGCCGGTTTGGAAACATTTTCTCCTTTAGTACAGAGAAAAAAATCCAAAAAGGATGTCTGAAAGTGTAAATATTGAGCAGGGATGGGGAAACATTTTTTTTTTTAAAGCCGCAGTTCATCTTTATTAGTTTTAATACATTTACTGAATGCTTTCTCTAAGTAAAAATAAAGCAGCACTGTGGTAAAGTTAGTTTCTCAAAGTTTTGCACGCGCACACACCCATATGTAGAAAGCGATAAGCAGGCGTTGGTGAGATGAACTTGTCTATTTTCCAGTTGCTTTCAGGGGTCAGAGTTTCCTCCTGCTTTTATATTTAGTTGTTTCTAAACGGAGCTCGAATGTCTTCGTTCTGCAGTCAAAGGGCACGCCACAAAATGCAGCACCAGTTGCCTCCGTGTAATTAGTCAGGCACATTTCCCATGACCTCTGTGAGGTCAAGTCAGGTGACTATCTGTGGCATGACAACAGATGAGGATAAATAAAGCTGTGTGCTTATCGTTGAGGATTTTTCTCTCTCCTGTGTGTCAGTTTTAATCAAACCACTACTGCTTCATCCTGAAGGAGACGTGACTTTTGCTCGGCAAACATTAAAGGGATCCCTGATTAATTGTAACATTAGACTTTATTTGATAAATATACATTTTAACGGTAAAATAAAGACTAAAAATACTGTAGGATGTTTTAGTTTTTATCATTTTTAAAGTAAATTTTTAAAAATATATTTTAACACAGACGGAGCCATTTTATTTGCACACAAAGCATTCTGGGTAAATGATGATGTAGATAGGTCCTCGATGTGAGCGAGATATATCCACCCTGAAGGTTAATCTTGGACAATATTTGATGATCGACTCTTTTAAATGAAACCAGAGAGCGTTGACAGAGAGGAGAAGGTAGAAATGACTCAGCCTGTAACTGAAAATATAGATGGAGGACAACAGAGCTGCTTCATGGAAGAAGAACCTCAGCTTAGCCTGTTAGCTTTAGCACCGACGTTATATTGCATTTTATGTACATTATTAGCTCGGCGCTAGCGCAACAAACTGACAAGCTAACCTGTTGTCCTCCATCTATATTTTCAGTTCCAGGCTGAGTCATTTCTACCTTCTCCTCTCTGTCAACGCTCTCTGGTTTCATTTAAAAGAGTCGATCATCAGATATTGTCCAAGATTAACCTTCAGGGTGGATATAGCTCGCTAGCAGCCTCGCACCGATGACTTTAAAACTAAACAGCCTACAGTATTTTTACAGTCTTTATTTTAAATGTTTATCAAATAAAGTCTAATGTTACAACTAATCCTGGATCCCTTTAAATATTTCCATTTGTTTTCAAGGACACATTGGTGACATCTCTTTTTTTTATTATTATTATTTTCACGTTTCCATGTCACACAGTCCTCAAGACATCAGCTAATTCCCTGTCTTTGTTCGGAGGTTATTGCTCAAACTTTGCCTCTCAAGCAGATAAAAGAATTCATTTAGTAACCAATTCATTCGTAGATTTGGATCAGTTCTCACAGGGAAATCATGTCAGGAGTACATTTGTTTGATATCTTATCACCAAAGTTTTACTGGGAATATTTTTGTATAAAAAAAAGACGAAGAAACTCTGATTCCCTCAGGGCAATTTAAATAGATATCCTCTTGACTTCAGACTAGTGCCCTATCTCATCACCTGTAAAATCAGAAAAGATTGCAGGGGGGACGTTTTTGGGTTTCTTAAATGAGAAACTAAATGAGTCTGCGTTAAGAAGGATTTAGTGTAGCTCTGGGGAAACGCTCTCATTCACACAGGTTCTAGAGAAAATTTACCATGCTTTGTGTTTTTTTTCCCTCCCATCTCCCAAAAATTACATCGTGCTTAGACCTGATGGGATGAAAAAAACTGCAATAATGTGGAACAGGAGTAAAAAACATTTCCTTTATTGCTTTTCAGATGTCATTGAAAAACCAAGTCATTACAGCAAATTATATGTTTTTTGGGAACTGACAGGGTTTTTTAGACAGCTTCCAAACAAGATGTGCAGATTTAAGGAGAAGGTTTGAGGCTGTTACTCAGACGAGACTATACGTTAAAGACTGACAGGCTTGTTAGGACGGCAGGATCAGATGATGGCCAAATGGTGTACATCACATAAGGGCATGAGAAATTGCTTTTTGTCTGTTTCCCCCCTCAATTTCCTTATCTTAAGTGGGATTTTGTATGCTGTGTGAGGCTCTCTTCTTCTGCTGCTACAGGCTGTGATCAGAGGAATTGCTAATTCACTTCTTCTATTTGATCCTCTAATCACAGGGCATTTATTAACTAGTCTGGAAGACATACAGTTGTTGGCAGCTTTTAAACATGTAGCAACAGGCAAAACAGAAACTTTAGTCTTTCAAATTGGTCGTACTTGAGTCAGCGCTGAAACCTTATAGAAACTGTGATCCTTCTGTGTGACAAGCTGTCGACCAGCTCGCTTACAGCAGCCGATGTAGCGACATAAACTGTTATATTTGCTTATTTATATCCGCTTGCGAGCCATAGTTTCCTCCTTCTGTCTCATTTTTCTTAGCCTAGCAGTCCTGCCTCAGGGTTTACATGGGTAGTACGATTTTTTTTCCCCCACTCCACGGCCCGTTGATGTTAATTCTTCTGATTAAATGCCATGTAGAGGCACGTAGTATAATAAAGGCCGGGCCTGCAGTTAGCAAGCAGCTGACTACAGCAGATGGCTGGGCCACAAACCAGATTACAGCCATCCGTCTTTAACGCTGTGACCTCATTGCGCCTTTGTCGACCCAGCACGCCCAGACGAACACTGCTGAAGGTTTATTAGCCCTGAATAAGAAAGAAGAACCCGGCGAGCCGAGTGTGTAACGAGGAAGCACGCGCGTGAAGCGGGGAGGTGAGGCGAGGGCTGCAGGGAGACAGAATGAAGGAAAGGAATGAATGGAGGAAGATATCAAAGCCAGAGATGGAAAAAAACGGAACGACTGTGTTGCACATTTTGGGAAATGTGCTAAACAGCTGAACGACGGCCTGATAGAGCAAACCTGACACACGTGAAGAGGTATCATTTTGAAATGAAATAGAAAAAGTCACCAAGGCGGCAAAGATGTCATGGATGAAGGTTGAAGCGTCGCTGCACGAGCGACAGGTTTGAAGAGCAGCAAAAGCAGAGTTGTAAAGTAACGAAGTACAAATACTTTGTTACTGTACTTAAGTAGAATTTTTGGGTACCTGTACTTTACAAGAGTATTTTTCAGCCTACTTTTTACTTCTACTTCTTATATTTTCACACAATTATCTTATCTGTACTTTCTGCTTACATTTTAAAAAAAGACAAGAACTAAAAAGTCGTTACTTTTATTTCATTTTTACTTGTTTTCATTCCAGCTTCTTATTGTAAAAAAATAAATATTATCCATATTAATTGTGCCTCCTTGATAGAGTGAATTTAATTGTGGTTGAATGAGAAGTATAAATATATAAAACTCTGATAGCGTATTAGTTTGTACACAAACAAATCATGTCACACTCCAGCAGGACAGAATCATTAAAATAAAAGGACTGTACTTAAGAAGTATTTATATTTCATGAATTATATTATTGTATAAGTTATTTTTTGAAGCAGGTGGAAAAAACTGAGAGTGAGATTATTTTGTCGGTACGGGTTTATGCCAAACTCGTATGCAGCAGATGATAAAAGATGGGGCTTAATTGCCTGTTTAATGTTTGAACGTAAGGTAAAACTCTTAGCTGACTGAAGACGAGCAATAATTCTTTTGTGATATGACAACACGTGAACAAAGCTTTTTTTTTGTTTTGTTACAAAAGCATTAAAATGTGAGGCTGTCCTTTTATGACCGTGCTAGTCTGAAAGCATCCAATTTAAAGGTGTTTGAGTTTGGCAGCTGAAACAATCCTCCCCTTTATTCTGCTGAATCGGTGTCACTGTCATGTTTTACTTCTGGCGTGATTTATGGAGCCGGCTTTAATGGAAATTTGCTATTTATTGTGATGAAAATTCATGCACCTTAATTTGCTCAATAAGGATTTACAATTCAGGCACCATTACAGTTTATCTCAGGCATGACCAAAGTACATTTAAAATGCAGCTGTTGATTTGAGCACAAACATACAAATAATTATCTTTTTTTTGGTACAAAAAAAACCCCGTAAAAACCCATTAACTCTCTTGGCAATCAGTTAGAGCCCAGATGGTTACAGTGTTGTATATGTGTGGAACATAACTCAGTTCAAGTAGTGTTGGCAGATAAAATTGCCAGTGAGACGAGTTGGGTTTAAGAAAATAAACATCTTAATTCTACATTTAATTTTAGCTCAGGATTTGAGTGTGAGTAAACCAAAAGGTGTGACTCGCGGGAGAAAAAAAACCTCTCCTTGTGATTTTAATCTTCCCAATGGGCTTGATGGCATTGTTATAATGTTGGCTAATTGTTTTCAGTGTGCCAGCATTCATTTTCAATATTCTAAAGACATTATTTTCAGTTACAGCAGGCAAATTATCATATAAAAAGTGTTGAGCAAACCCAAAACAAGCACCTGTCCAGGCTTATCAAGTGTAACTGATCAATATCAATGGGCCTCATGCAAGAACCGTTCGTACGCACAGATTTGTTCTTAAGTTG